GAATAAGCATCAACTGATAGCATCTCGCAATGACATATCATAGACTCGTAGATCCCATCTCAGACCAGCTGTTCGTATGATCACTATTAACAAGACCACATGTAAATCATAAGAAAACCCCAACTCCCAAGTATTGTCTCTGCACATTATGTCTAATTCTCTCGTCCCTATCTCACCCTCATTCTGTCGTTCACGAGATACGGCGTGAACACCATACACCACCACTTAAACCACTAAATTCCCTCTGTGCACCTTCTCGGCGTCCCCAAACCCTGTCATGCCGCCTCTATGTGCATTCTGTACATACCCAACTCTCACCTCGTGAACCTCCCCGTCTTCACCAACCGACGTGGTGCTAGTCGCTCCGTCATCAGTCAACAGTTCTTCTTCTCCTTCCGTATCATCTACATACGCTTCCTTTCGCTCAAACCTTTCGGCAGATGAGATTTCAATCTCGTCTGCCCTCCTGAGTCTGTCAAGAGACTCTTCGATTCTCTTCGTTCTCTCGGAACTGGGAGAATCTCCCACCAGAGGTAAAACTGATATTTCCGCTCTTGGCGTTTGAAGATCTTCTTCCGGTCTACTCGAAGAAGATGAAGGTGGTAGAGGGATGTTTAGTGGACCATCACGACCGGCCAAAAGCCATGCGGTCACACGGGCTTCCGGAGTGGGCTGTTCCCATTCACCCTCAGGATGAGTTTGAGGGACTCCCCATTGAGTCAGAATGGCAGAAAGGAGTAAACGACATTCTCTCGCCGACGTGGCGTGGTCGAGCAAGTGTCGAAGGGGCATCAGGTCTTCCAAAGGTATGGAAGGGGCAACGGGTTCAGGAGGGGTCACAGGAGCCGTGTCGACTGTTGTTGGTTCTGATTCAGTCACTGCTGTAGGTGCTGCGGTTTGAGAAGATTGGTCGGTTGTGACAGGTTCGAGAGCGGTGGGAGAAGAATCAGAATCGCCCTCCTCGGCAGTTTGGAAACTGTTCGCGTCGGACGAATACTTGTCGTGTCCTGTCGAAAGCGCAGAAGGTGGCTCCAAAGCGCTGGCGTCCGGATCCGAAGCGGAGGTGCTTTCTTTGAAATGGACGGCAGGAAGAGGGGTTGTGATTTCTCTCTCAACAACAGTGATAATAGGGGATGGGATTTCTTTGTCATGGATCGGTAGAGGAGACGAGCCACCATCCTTATATTGGGCAGCCAATAATGATGAAGTCCGTATTGCCAATTTCTCCGGACCACGCTCGATAGGACTACTCTTGGGCGTAGTGGACCGGATGTGTTCGTCTTCCAAACGTTTGCCTTGTAGTAGATCCGATGGTCGTCTGTCAAGCAGGGCGGCAACCGGCTGAGTGGGAGGGGTCGTCGATTTCCCCTCCACGGCCGAGAAGATTGTCTGTTGAGGGATACTGGGCAATTTGTCATTGGAAATTCTGTCCTTGGATTTGATATCCCGAAGTAAGACGACACCTGTGACAGAGGTGTCGGGTTTGGTGCCAGAGATACCGGTAAGTGTATCTACAGGCGGCCCTTTACGGAAGGTCGTCTTCTGAGGAAGAGGTGGAGCTTCTTCATATCCACGGTTCGTCGATGGCATCGTGTTGGCACTAGCCATGCTCTGCATAGACTTGTTTCGCTTCATTCCACCAGCGATACCGAGATTCGAATGTGACGTGCTGACTACCAACGGAGGAGGATAAGATTTCTCATTGTATTTGTCTTTGTCCGATTTGTCAGATCGTCTCCCTCCAGTAACCTTGGACATCAACGATCGGAAGCCTCTCGTACTCTTTGAAGTGGGAAGGGGTTCGTCGAAATTGACCTGGGAAGTGACAGGGGGAGCAGTGTTATTCAGGAAGTCCGCTAATTCTTGAGCTTCGGTCTTGCCTCTGCGAGGACGAGGGAAAAGATCCTCGTCATCATCCAGTGGATCTTGACGCTTGGTGGTACGCTTGAAAGTCGGTTGTAGCTGCGATGGTGGGGATCGCCGAGTGGACGGTACAGGGGCGGCTTGAGTAGGTGTGGGAGCAGAAGCTTTGGGGGGAGGAGTTCCCAAGACTACAGCCGGGACGATCCGTTTGGTCGAACCGTTGACTTGCTTGGGTAGATCGGCAGGTGCCGAACTGAGTATCTCCATCAGACTGTGCTTTTGTTGTTTTTGACCATTCAAGGGATCAGTGTCCTCGTGGGCTTCTTCCTCGATCGTACTCGCTCCTCTCGCAGTGAGACGAGGACCTGATTCAGACTTCCCGCGACCATGAGACTGGGCTAAAGCGTCCGTCCGGGGTTGAGGCATTGGCGGAACGTCAACAAGTGAGGTCTGAGAAAGGTTTTGAGTCGGTCGAACCGGACGAACGTATGCCGGTTGGGTCGGCGAGCTATTGGTCTTCCCACGACCAGGCATCTGACATCAGTCACAGCTCCTTTGCGGGGTCGTTCCAAATGCTCACCTCAACTGTCTTCAGTCTTGACGGAGTCAGACTGACTTTCATGGTTTCGCCACTCCTGACGAGAGCATCAAATTCTTCCTCTTCCTCATGTTTCATAGAAGGATCAAGTTGCTCGTGATATGCGCCCAAGATGGAGCGCGTAGTGACACTCAAGACACTGCCACTTCTTTCATGCCCGTGGACGGATAGGGACTTTTTAGCCGATGAAGGTCTTCGACCCAGACCACCAAAGCGACCGTGATCTGGAGACGCGCGATGCTGTTCGAAGGAAGTGGGCGGGTTGCGTTGCCCAGGCTCCGCACTTGGAGCGCGATATACTCCTACCGATGTCTTGGACCCATGTGGAGAGTTGCTGGAGGAGAAAACGACATCGGTGGGAGAATCAGACAAGGATGGTCGTTGTGGTGTACCTCCACGCTTGGGTCGAGAACCGGCACGGATGGCAGCTTCAAGAGAATCTTTCACTGAGATGTCAGCTCCGCGCAAAGTCAAATAGATAATTTACCTTTCATTCGTTTGAAAATACCCCATACACTTTCATCTTCGCACAGAGCGACGTAAAGGTCTTGTACACTTGCAGTGGAGATGCTAGAGTCGCGAGCCACAACACGGGCCAGCTGAGCTAAGACATGCTCGCATACGTGTCTTGATATCAGCTCTGATTTCTAGTTCTGTAGCATCTGAAGATACGACTTACTCTAAGATTGCGGTAAGCCATAAGGCAGCCGGTGCAAGAGTATCTTCCGAGGTATCTCCACCCGCAGCCTTCCAAGCGGCCATCAAAGAATCTTCCACTCCTGCCGGTGGGGGAGTCTGAGGTGCGAGTGTCTGTACCTTGTAAGCTCATCATATCCCATCGTGATCACCTTTGAGGATCTCAATGAAGAAATGCACTCACCGAGAAAGTTGCACACTTGTATCTCATCAACTGTGAAGCTGGATCCACTGGGAAATCCGCTGCAATCCCCTCTTTACTAGCTATCATCCCTCTACCCTTTCCACCAGGAGGTAGCCCCTTCCTGGGATCATTGGTCTCATACCAGCTTCTCAATTCCAATTCTGCTTCCCCTACAGCTGATCTTCCCAGTGCTCGAAGACCGGTGGTATCTCCCGCCGATTTGTCGCCCGAGAATACGACCGGAATTCCATGCAGACGCAGATGAGAAGGGTTTATAGAGTCTGCAGCGCTGATAAGAGACGTAATAAGTTCGTCAATCAATAAATTAATATGTTGCAATGCTGGGGCTGAAAGGGTGGTCGGACGAAGATCAGAGATGAGAGCATTTGCCGAAGTGGAGGAGAGGAATGGTAAAGTATCAGAGACTGTAGATCAGTCTCGGATCCTATGATATCGTACAAGGGAATGACTCACCCGTCATTTCGAGTCCACTCTCACAGTCAAGGAATTAAAGAAGATGAAGATGAAGATTGAAGGATCACGGATAGGGAAGAATGGAAGGAACGACTGAAAACATGAGCTCGAATCGATTTCAGTTATGAAAAGGATACTCACTTTGAGTCTAGTGGTGGTGCTGCTTCCCCCCCGGACTATACCAAAGGTGAAGTGAGGGGACTTTGGGGCCTTTGAGATACGGAAGGAGCTCTTCTGCAACGTCAAAGGTATGGAACGGGCAATAAGACGATCGTGACGAGATTGTGGAGCGCTACAATGTGAGCACTTGACAGACAGAATTCACGTCCGCTACGAGCAAAAAGTGAGCGTTCTGACACACAAGAACATGGTCGTCGAAGTGATTGAGTGGGTTTCAGAGGAGAGAGATTGAGACTCACCTGACCGAGATCGCCGATGATGGAATGATTCCAGAATCTGTCAGTCAGGTGGAGTGGAGCGTAGGCGTGAGGAGGAGTTTTACAGAGAATGGGTGGGCAAGAAGAGATTAGCTGTTGACAAGACGACGTTACCAAGGATACAAGAGGGAAGAAGGGAAAGAGGGGTGCAAGGGGGCAGGGGAGAGGGGCAAGGGGAAGAGCCGAGAAGACAGGACACGCTAAGACAAAGAAGAAAAAGATTGGAGAAAATTGATGAAACCAGCACGGACCCGGTAAAGAGTGGGCCCGAGCGTCTCTGCCACTTGACAGGCACGGCCATGAGGGCAGGGGGGGACTAGCTGCTAGAGTAGAGTACCATGCTACCCTACACAACTAGATGCTACTCGTAACTGCTCTGTTGCTCTTCCACTGTATGCCGCAGATCGCCCCGTCTTACTCTCATGATATGTATGCATGTGGAAGTGATGTATCGTGTCAGAGCAACTATCCGTTGCGCGCATGCGTAAAGGGTAACCCAACCCCCGTCAAGCAGCAAGAAGTGTCTCACGTAGATTCACATCAGCCGCCAAAAAGCCATGTCCTGTTTCGTCTCAGCTCAGACCGCTCGGAGTAATCAATTCACTCACCAAATCCTTGCTCAATTGCAAAATCTTTTGAGCGCTGATAGGCCGCAGGGTCCTGAGGTGGCACCCAAAATTCGTCAATGATGGGGATTTGCAATAGGTTCATCTATGTGTAAGTCGTCTCTCTACGATGTCATGTGGGGATGTAACAGCGGAAAGTACTCACCTTGCGAGTGATGACGATCATTGTATTGGTCCTCACCTCCATCCAGTCACTCCTCTCGAACGTCAATGGCTCGCTGGCCAAGAGGAATATGCGTTCCCGCTTGTCCGCTTTGGTCATGCGGTACATACCTTCCTCTTCGTACTCTTCGAACGATGTGCCCGAGGAGAAGAAGAGCGAGGAGGCCTCGTTGGTACGCGAGTTGATATACCGTGTGGCAACTACAGTCTCGCCGTCTGTGACTACGAAGTTCAGCAGATGAGGTGAGGTCTGGTTGTCATCAGCGCCAGACGACGTGGGAGGAATCTGTCGTGGACCACTCACGACTCCAGCTTCTTTGGACAGCTGATTGATGTGGGCAATGGTCTGGGTCATGGCTTCACACAGTTCCTGATGACTGAACACTCTTGCATGAGGGTCTTTCAACTTCACCGTCAGCGATAGCCGCATACCATTTCCGGGGCACGTACCTTCGAAAGAAATAGTACAAAGGCCCATTCCGAATCGGTGTATCCCAGAGGGAATAGGTAGAGCTCATCTGGAAGACCGTCCTGCATAGCGCGACGCATCTGAGAAAAGCCGCTGATCTAGATAATCAGTCGTCGTGTTCATTATGCTTAGGAAAGGATTTCACCTCTCCATTGTGCATCCACTGTTAGTGTCAGCTACCACAGTTAAGCAGTAAGTGAGATACAAACGTACCATAAGTTTGTCGAAGGCCCATGGATGACAGTTCTCTTCACTCGCTGACTGATCAGTGACAACCATAGCATGTATCATCGACGTACGTGCACCAGCCATAGTAGTAGCCCTGACATGCGCACTGACCAGTCAGCATATCGGACAGAGGAGGATGACGTGCTCACAAGACGAGAGGGGATCTGATCTTCTCTGCCAAACGCGTGAGATTTGTATTGCTCCACGCCTGTATTGGTCAGCATCTCCATGACGATAACGTGATGAAAGGAGCGAGTGGTGCAGAACATACCGGGGTGATACTCTTGAAGATACAAGGCCGTTCGTTTTGCAGCTCCTGCTCGTATTCCCTCATTTGCCACAGCTCGGCTGCTTTCCCTTCATCAGCCACTCCATGGAGGACCTCGCCTTTTCGGGCATGCTGATTCTTTGCCACTGGGTCAGAGATAGGGGAGACGACTGGTTTGGGTACCACCTCTGCAGGAGACACATGAGGTAATGGATCATACCACCCTATCCCAAATCCATCAGCCTGGAAAGTGAGCAGAGATGGAAGGGTAAAGGTGAGACTCACGTTGAATGGGCGCGAGGAGGGTAAGCGCAGTTTGGATTCGAAGGCCTGGTTGATGATACTGTGTCGTGGACGAGTGACCAGATGTGCCAACTGAATTGGCTGGTCGCCTTTGTAAACTATCTACGAATGTCAGTGATCGACGACTGTCAATTGGGTTCAGAGGACATACGAAACGACACATCCTTATCAAAAAATGTGAGTGTAGATGTCGAAGAACAAGATGGATGTTCCGCCTGGGAAAAGTATGCAAGTCTTATAAATTGAAAAAGAGCGCAGTTGGCGGAGAGGATGGGTCAATGTCGGACTTCATTGACGGCGAGTCGGGGTTGAAAGGAGGATTGGACGCATTGGGGGGTCGGGCGTTTCACCGTGTAGGGGCCAAGGTGAGGTTCGAGGAAAGATCTGAGGTAGGCTGAATATGCAGCCTTGTATATTTGATATGGCCTGCGTGTATGTGAGGCTATGCCGAGGGTGGTGGGCAGATCAGGGTGGGAATGGAATGAGCCAGTCAGCATGGAAAAGCACTTCGAAAAGGCGGTGGGGATGAGGATAAGGGGGGTCGTGTGGCAAGTCACGTGAGCGTCATCGGAGCCCCGCAGTTTCACTAGACATTTGCTCCCGCTTTCCAATCCTACAGGGGCGCATCGCTCAAAGAGGTCTGTTGGGTTCAATTTGGTCCCCACTTTCGTCTTTTCAATCTCCTGCTTACTGCTGACTGCTTCTTATACTCGCCTCCCTCACCTGCTTCATTCTCTTCATATTACCAACATGTCTATCAGAGCTGTGAGTCTATCGTTGTGAAAAGTCCTGTTGACGATAACTGATGGAATGTCAGATTGTCAAATGTACGTCCTCTTTTCGCTCGAGGCCTTTTCGACAAGGCTCTTGCTAACACTTTTGACAGCTGTTCTCTCCGGTGACACCCTCATCGTTCGTCCCAAGGAGCTTCCTGAGAAGGGCAAACCTTCCAAGGAGAGGTGAGCAAGCTGCTTGTCATGCTGCTCATATGTTCTGACGTCTAGACTTTTGCACATCGCCGGCTTGAGCGCACCCCGTATGGGATCGATCAATCGTGAAGACGAGCCTTATTCTTTTTCTTCACGAGAGTTTCTACGTAAACTCCTTGTCGGTAAAGAGGTTGCTTTCAACATCACTCATACGTTAGACTCAAAGAATGGCAATGGACCGGTACGACCCACTTCATACGTCTGTCATGTCGCTGATGGAAAGGCAGGGGACAGGGAATTTGCTACCATATACATAGCTCCTGCTGCTCCTGGACAATCGCCTCAAGATATTGCTTTTCTCGCCGTCTCCTCTGGATGGGCTAGGGTACGCGAGGGGGTAGGAGAAGGTGACGAGGCTGTCAGGTAGGTCCATTTGAATACCATCTCACCAATACTGATGATCCAGACGTTTAGGAACAGATGAGGCAAAACGAAGAGAGGCTCTTCGAAACGCCGAGGCACAAGCCAAATTGGACGGCAAAGGTCTCTGGGCGGAACAAGGCGAGAGCGTATGTGTTCCTTGCCAGTCTTGAATATCCGGTGGCTAACATGTCCAGCAATGCACGGTCTCTTTTCAAATGCCGCCAGATCCCGTTGCTTTCATTGCAGAACACAAGGATCAGGACATTGATGGTCAGTCTTCTCGTCTACGTCGGAAGCTTGGGCTCACCTAAAAGCAATCGTTGAGCAAGTCCGCGATGGTACTCAGTTCCGCGTCCGTTTGCTTCTTGACGACTCGAGACATCAATTTATCAACCTTGTCCTTGCGGGTGCTAAGAGCCCACGGTCTTCTGCGCGGGACGGAGATTCGAGTATGGCAGAACCATGGGGCGAAGAAGTATGTCTCCAAATTCGTACTGAGCTTGTACTCACAAGCAGGCCAAGCATTTTGCGGAAGTCCGAGTCCTACAACGGTTGATAAAGGTTCGCCTCCTCACAGCTCCGGCGAACTTGGGTGTCTCACCATTTCAAAGTGGCCCCACACCCGCCGCAGCGTCGAAAACAAGTACAAATGGTGCCTCAACACTTCCAGCTCCCACTACAGGTGGTCCAAGTATCATCATCGGTACTGCGTGAGTCCAATCATGCAGTCCCGACGGAGTCCAGCTGAAATCGTAGCACGCATCCTAATGGTAATATTGCCGAGTTTCTCTGTGGGGCCGGTCTGGCCAAGGTCATAGATGTGAGCATTGCTTGCGTTCTCTCTAATGTATCAGCTGATCGATCAGTGGCATGCGGGCATTCTGGCTCCGCTGGGTGGACTAGAAAGACTACGAGCCGCTGAACGATCTGCCAAAGAAAAGAGACTTTGTTTGTGGGAGGGATACGGCACAACGGCAAAGGGCACGAACGGTGTTGCAGCTCATGTCGATGTAGCCACAACAAAAGGCTCTACTTTCGAAGCTACAGTCGTTCGGATATGGGGATCCGATCAATTGTCTCTCGTCGCTAAAGGGGACGAGGATGGAAAGGAAAGAAGAGTACAGCTTGCATCAGTCCGTGGACCGAGGTGAGTAAAGAATTCAGCTCGATGTGCTGATCATCAGGGGCGCTGGAGTCAGGGAGACGTACTGGGCCAACGAGGCCAAGGAATATCTGCGAAAAAGGGTGATTGGAAAACATGTGAATGTATTCGTAGACTACGTCAAGCCTAAGGATGGCGAGTATGAAGAACGCGAATGTGTCACCATCACTATAGGGGCACATAACGAGTGAGTTATGAAGCTTCGAATCTGCTCTATTGCCCTTTTGAAGTTGTCTGGACCATGCTCATAAAACCAGGAACATCTCAGAGCAGCTCATCGTTCGTGGTCTAGCGACCGTACTCCGACACAAAAGGGACGATGAGGATCGTTCCGCTGAGCTGGACAAATTGGTGGCAGCGGAACAGAAGTGAGTATGAGCCGGTCATTCACGAAAAACGCGCTGAAGAGACAGGGCTGTCGAAGAAGAAAAAGGGGTGCATTCTCAGAAGGAGGTAGCATTGCCAAGGATTGTGGACGCTTCCGAGAATGCCAGTAGGGCGAGTCAATATCTACCCGCTTGGAAACGAGCCGGGAGACACGCTGCCGTGGTGAGTGACTTCAATTCTCAGGCCTTGTTCACCGTAGTTAGCGACTATCATCTGTTGACGATGTGTTATACCATGGTGCTCACACTGACACCCAGGTCGAATTCGTTGCTTCAGGCTCTAGATTCAAGCTGTTTCTACCAAAGGAAAATGCCAAGCTCACCTTTGTCTTGGCTGGTATGTCTTCCAGCCGGCACGTGCACACCATCACAGTAGCTTAAAATAGGTATACGAGCACCACGAGCCGCAAGAAGCAATACTGAGAAATCTGAACCGTACGGTCTGGAAAGTCAGAAACACTCATCGAAATATATGCAACGAGATGCAGAAATAGGTATGCCTCTCCTCTTTGAAAACTTATGGATACGCCGCTTATTCTCAGTGTTCGATAGCACCGACAAACAAGGCGGGTTCATTGGTACGATGTTTGTTGGAGGCATCAATGTTGCTGTGGATCTCGTCCGTGAAGGGTGAGCATCTCCCTTTATCCGTTCTCGAGTTTGAATTGATGGGCTGCAGCCTTGCGACAGTGCATACCCATTCTGCCGAACAATTGCCGGGTGGTAGGGAGCTCATAGCGGCTGAAGAAGAGGCCAAGGCCGCAAGCAAAAATGTATGACTTTTCCATAGCCACTGGTACGATGCTGATAAAGTCAGATCTGGTCCGACCTGGCCACTCAAGAGGCGCAACCCACAGCCGATGATGCCTTGGGTGCATTGGCCCCTGAGTACCTGGATGTCTACGTCTCTGCTGTTCGAGATTCTGACCCATTTGGCTTCTCAGTGCAAGTTCTGGATCCTCCGAGTGAGTTGAGCGAAATTTTAATCCATCTCTACTATGCTTCCCCAACTCTACAAAAAGTCTCACTGAGAGTATGGAACAGCTGGATCTGTTCTGGTTCGGGCATGAGCTGATGAGTCAGGTGTGTCAGCTTTAGAAAAGCTCATGAGCGATTTTTCACTCCATCATCGCACGTCCACTTCCGCTTCTCCCGCCGGCTTCACTCCCAAACTGGGGGATCTGGTGTCTGCAAAGTTCACCGAGGATGATCAATGGTTCGTGCTATTCCTGTAGCTGATTGCTGTATGGCGAAGCTGAGCAACAGGTATCGTGCCAAAGTCAAGAGGGTATCGGTAATGAGGAAAGAGGCTTTGCTACAATTCATCGATTATGGTAATGAAGAAACGCTTCCTTTCACTCGGATCAGACCTTTGGATACCAAGTTCAAGGGTCTGCCCGGTCAGGCGAGAGATGCTCGGTTGAGGTATGTAGTTTTACCCACAACGTCACTCGATCGAATGTTGCTCTAGCCCGTTATACGCCCACGCCGGAAACAAGATGTGGAAACTGATGAACAGCTTCGTCAAGCTTCCCGCTAAGGACAAAGATTACGGTCCTGAAGCTTATAGACGGTTTGGTCGGCTCACGGAGGTGAGTTATCTCTTGTTTCTCAGAACATCTCCCTCACTGTCTTGCGTCAACGCTGTATTGTAAGGCTCACAAGCTCATGAGGCAGGGTAAAAAACTCGTCGCCAATATCGACCACAGGGAAGGCAGTCTACTGCATCTTCGCTTGATCGACCCGACCGATCCCAATTCTGCCGAAGATCCGCTTACATGTCTCAATGCGGACTTGGTGCGAGAAGGTGAGTATAGGATTATCAAGTCTGACTTAACGCTGATGATGCAGGACTAGCATCTATCGATAAGAGCTGTCGTTATCTTTCTGCCTATCCGCAGATTGTGAAAAAGCTACAGGATGGTGAGTTGTTGCTCACTGAATTACCCTCATAGCCTCCCGACTTGAATCCCTCTCTACTGTTCTGTAATGTCGTCCCTTGAATAAATAAGAGTAAAACGCCTATCTCAGCACAAGCGACTGGTCTGAAGTAGAGCTGACAATTAGCTGTGGAAGGAGCCAAAGCCGACCGTTTGGGAATGTTCGAATATGGCGATGTGAGTGAAGACTAGTACTGTGCATAGAACGATCAACGATCATCATGACAAGATCAAGAGAATCATAAAGGCATGTCAATGAGTGCATGAACTGCAATGCATAGTGTTTCACACTGAGAAGCATCCCTCACAAATGGTCTACCACATGACATGTCGATAAAATTCAGTCTTCCGTTTTGGGAGTCAAGGTGTAATGCCGTTCTAGGACCCGTTTGGTGAATTGTCCAAATGTTTCAGATGGGGATATGAAGTCGCCAATATCGGGTCTGTCATTAACATTGATCCTTCGTAACGAATCGATATGGAACAGGAGGACATGTCCGGCGTGTACGTGTACCAAGTTACTGGGCGAGATCACATGTCGATGGTGGAGATGAGATTGAATAGATCAAATAGAGGTAAGGGTACTAAGGGAGAAAGTTATATGGACTTACTGTAAGAAAAAAGCAAAAGTTTCTCTTGAGATCGTATTGGATGATTCACCCATAGTACCTGAGACGTAATGAGGTGTAGCTGCGAGTTTCCCTTCAGTCAAGATTTCTAAAGCTTCTCCGATTTGGAATCCTGCTAATCAGCTTTCCGTCAGATGTCAAATACCAGATCTCCCTCTGTCTTCTCTCTCTCTATTTCTTCTCTCTCTATATATATATATTTCTTCTCTATATATATATATTTCTTCTCTATATATATATATTTCTTCTCTCTATATATATATATATATATTTCTTCTCTCTCTCTGTGTATGTAAGTGTGTGTGTGCTCTTGCCTCATCTATCGTTTGAATCAATTCGACCAGCGGAAGGACACGAGAAAAAACTCAAGATAATTCGTGAAAATGTGGATGATGGTTCATGTGCCATCTGAGAAAAATGACGAGCGCACCTAAACAATCAAACGGTATATCAACCTTGACCGGTTTTCCTTTATCTGAACTTTCACCCCGAGGATAAATCCATAGACCCGCTTCTGTCGAAGGCGGTTCAATGATGTTAGGGGGTGAAATAGAGGAATCGAGGTATATGGCTGAACAAAGACCTGTGAGAAGGGAATGATCAAGATGTGTACCGCATAATTCATCTTGTGTGATTTGAGAGGATGATTGAGGGTAGTAATGTAATAATCTTGCCTAGATAGATTTCAGTTTTGACCCTTTTTCAAGCTTTTCTCAGATGTCTCCAATCATGTCAGAGATTATCCGTACGAGTCATCAAAGGGTAACTCGTCTATTCCTCCTGCTCCTTTTGTCCATCCTACAGATTGTGCCGTCATCCGATGAGGACGCCTCCGAAGTCCGATTCTTTAGCCTCCCTCCTCCTCTCTTCAACCATATGAGAAGTCATGCCATCATTTGAAGAGCAAGTTTGTATACTCGTGGAAGTTCAATTGACCCGAATGAAAGGATGGAAAGAGTCAAATCTCACTTTATGACAATTTGAACCTTTCAACAAATCCCCTACACCCTCACTTCCCTCTATACTTGATGACACTGATATTGTCAATATTCAGATTCAACATACTTCTCAGGAGGGAAAAGACATACCAAATGTTTCACAAGCTTTAGCAAGTGATAAACCCACTTCGTAGATTATCTTCCCTAATCTAATCGTCAATTGATATTCCAGAGACCGGAGGGGAAGATAAAATGTTGGAGATGACTCACGCTTTGAAAATGCGCTCGAATTCCTCTAATCCAGGTTCGTCAGGCCATACATTACCATGATAATATCCGCCCGTCAGATACTGCTGTGGCGAAAGACACGAAACACTTACTCTGGATAAGATGCCCGAAGAGAAGACGGAACATCAGGAAGGTCGGTCAGAGGGTTTGCATAGAACGATCCTTTCAAAAGGTCCGGTTTCTATCTTTCAGCAGCAGCCTATAGTGACGTGAGCAAGAGTAGGGCAGCAAGAACACGTCGTGGAGTGAAGTGATGATGATGGACACCCTGGAAGAGAGAGGGTCGACCGGAAATACATTGCTGGAAGGACAGATGCAGTATGGGCAAGAGTAGGGAAGTAGCAGTGGCGGTTTGGGGAGGGGGCAGGGGGGATAAAAGACGAGACATACACCAGTCATCACTTCTTTCCCGTGACTCCAACCAAACATATAACTCGTCTCTGGTCGAGCATACTTCTCTCTGTTTTGTTCGGGAAGTGTAGCGAATCTCTCTCCCAGTCGGAAAAGGTTTTCTCGTAGATGCTTATACTCTTCTGGTAGATCTTACCCTTAGTGTACATCAAACATTGGTCAAGTTGAGTTGAGAAGAATCTCACGGTGTCACCATGTACAGTGTTTTGTAGATAAGGTATTGTCGAAACGACTAAGGTGTTCACGAAGACTTACCTGAAATCAAGACGATACCCAGACATCCTAAATCATGTCCGAACGCTTTCTCTATATCTTTTCGTAAGCCATCTGGATCCGAAAGTAGAGTGGGGAAGGAAATGACCACTGGAGACACTGGGGAAGACATGTTTCTGCATACTGTATGCTGACAAAATGTGAGTCGTTGAGAGACGCGACAGGGAAGGGAAGCGCGTCGGTTAACCGGTTAACCGGCTTGTCCACCTCAATCTCGCATGAAAATAGAGTAGAGTAGAGTACTCGAGTATCTGATTCATGCTTCAAAGATTAGGGTACGAGTACTCTCAGCCAGAGGAGAATACCTATCTTCTGCTCTTGAAGGCAAGTGAGCTACCAGTGACTCTAAACGCCGTGTGTCCTCCATCGCGGGAGATATTTGACACCTATGATGGTAGGCTAGCAAGGATACAGACGTCAGACTTGATTTCCATCTGAAAACACCTTGCACCATCAGAAGTCTCTCCCTCTCGAGCCCGACGCTTCCCGCATCCAGCGACTAATACACAGTGTAGACTTGACTCAATGAAGCAAGATTGTGTAGCTCTCTATGTCGATGCCGCGAAGACGCCACCGCGGCTAAGTACCGGATCAAGTAAAGTTTCCGAAACGTCTCCTTGTTTATTCAATCCTACCCGTTGTTCAGATACTGCACAATCAGCTAAGCTTTAGCATCTCACTCAACTTTCACTAAAGTGGACTTGTTGTGCCAATTTTCATATGGACCAGTAGATCAGTAGAGCAATATTACGACACCTTTCCACTTTTGTCACCGTATCATCAAACCCGACTTACCTGAATTGGAAATTTCAAATTTCCATGCCGTCGTTTCACCACAATGACGGGTTCTAAACCTGATCATCCCCTCATCAATGCTTCGTCATACGACCCGAACTTCCCGTATCATCTCATTTCTCTTACTGAAGCAAAATGACTTGTTCGAAAATGAAACAGGAAGGAGATGAGATGTGGAGTGATCTCATCTCCCGTCAATATTTGGTATATAGGACGAACCCCTGTGAACCTACATCCTATCCTTCAGTCCAAGCTTTCAAAGTAACCTTCCAACATATCTTAGGTGACGAGTCTAAGAACAACACCAGACCATCCTAGGGTCATCACTCATCTATCAAATTTCGACAAGACTTTTCCACTTCCAGTTCACATGAATGAATTGAGTGAATCATACATAATCTACGATCTACGAGTCTGGTCATTTCAAGTCACCCGAAGATTACTAGATACATTTGACCAATTTTGACATCATTCACCGGGTGTGATCGGTATGTCAATCACGCCTTTCTTCAATTACATTCCACTTTCATCCTCTTTCATATTCTCACTTCTTGTTCCCATGTGTATAATAACTTGGTTCCCATTTCTCATCCTCATCCTACAAAACTTGATAGATTAGTTGCCACCTCTAACTGAAGCTCAGGATAACCAAGCAACGACTAGTCAAACCGATTAGACTAGTCAGACCATTCATACGAGGACCGTCTTCATCTCTTGATCAGAATCCGACCCAATGGACATGTCCCGCCAATTTTCAAACGAGCGAGCCGTTGTGGCTCCTCGGAAAACTTCTATTCCCCTTCCTCCTATCACTCAATCACCAAAATCAAAGGAAAGGGGCGCGAGCTTGTTGTCTGATGATATCTATACATCGAACAACCTCGCCTTGCTGGCTTCCTTACTTTCGGATCGGGCGACTTGTCTTCCGTCTCAACAACCAGAGTCCACAAAACGAAAACACAAGAAGACAAATGGACGTCATAAAATTTCTGGCAAAAAAGGTCGAAAACTTCCTTCCTGGGATATGTCATTCAGCCTGGAGCCCATCAAGGAGGAGGAAGAGATGAAAACCCAAAGAAGTAGTGCGATTCGACAATATGGTCGTAAGACAATTGTTAAGCCGATTGAACGCCAGTGTAATATCTATCCTCCGAGAGCCCGATTAGCCACACCAGAGCCAGAACCGGAATCGGACAATCATCGATTTGCCGACGTCTCGATAGATGATTGGTCCCTGGATGTGGAGGTGACGAAAGAGGAAGAGGAAGTTGGGTCTGATACACAATCAGAGATAGACGAGTTATTTCCTTGCAGGTTTGACAACCACAACAAGGAAGAAGAAGATACTATCCCAGGCGAGCATTCGTATCCCACACCCGCACCGACCGAAATATCCGATACCTCGGATACAGAGACGCAAGAGGAAGAAAGGAGTTCCTCCCCTGACGGATGTGATTTCGAAACAAGCAGATGGTCGAGAACATCGATAGAACACCTCTTGAACCCTCAGACTGAAGACTTTGAGAGGATTCAAGAGCCCCAAGAACGGCCAGAACGGCAAGAACCCCAAACAATCATCACCACTTACACACCCACTCTCAACCAATTTGCCTTTTCTCCAGTTCCCGACCTGATCTTATCTCCCCTACGTAATGTCCACCAAACACCCAACCTAAATCGAGGCTCATACAATTCTGAATCGTGCACCTACTCTCCTTCCTCATCCGGATCACCAGACAGTTTTCAGCTCGTCACTCCACACTACGCTCCTCGTCTACCTTCCCTCTCTAGACTCCCACAATTACTCACACCCAGTCCTCCCCACCTTCACATCCTTAACCCCCTCGTTCTCACACGACGAGGATCTGAGCTCAACCAGGAATTATGGCAAGATCAGGTTTCGAAAAACAGAACTCCCAAAGACTATCAACAATGTCTCACCAAAAACCGAGCTTCATTCACAAATGCCTCAAGCCTTCATAATTACCACTATTCCCCCAAAGCTAATGTCACGGAACTGGAATCCTTGATCGAGTCCAGGCTGAGAACTTTGGATCTTTCTCAGCCTCGTCATTCAGCAATTCACTCTCCAACATGTGAAGCAGCGAACCAAGCAAGTTCGGCTGATGTGCCCACATGCTCTGCGCATCCTCTTCGTCATGTCCTTCCTCTACTCCAAGATTTAAACCGAAACCAACATGACGAGGATCTTTTTACCCAATTGAACAGTTTCCGATTCCCCTCTCTGAAATCCTCAACCTCAGCCTCTGGACCTCTGTTGATCACCTCAAATGCACTTCAGCTGGATATCCCACCACAGGAAAGATTCAATGCCCTCGGTTTCCTGGAGGTGGAAGTGGATGGAGAAGGACGTTTCAGTGATATAATATCCGAAAAGTCAGACCAAGACGATGAATCATCAGAATCGGAATACAGCCAGGAATCTGAAATACTCAAGGAGGACGACTGCTGTAGCAACAGTGAAGAAGAAAACTGCAGCAAAGTTGGAGACCTGGGCTATGACGAGGAAGAGAATGATACCACTATCAGAGACTCGGCCCAGGGATACTTTTCACATATTCCTCCTTCCTCAGAGCCTGGTTTTGATCACCCGAGTCGTGCTGCTGCCGCCTTGAGGGATCACAAGCTGAACGCAGAGTTTGCTGAGCGTTTTATCATCGGTGATCAGCTAGGATTTGGGGGTTATGGCTTTGTTGTTTCTGCCATTGATCTGTTCGCCACTCACCAGAATGAAGTACACGTAGCGGTGAAGTTTGTGTTCAAAAGTAGGATGGAGGAGTCGGATAAAGCTGAAATGGTGGATAAGCTGCCCAAGGAGGCATACGTATTGAGTCAAGTTCGACACCCGGGGATCATTCTTCTCTTGGCAGTGTACGAGGACGAGAAGTTCTATTATTATGTGAGTTATCATACTTGGATCGGTAATATTGAACTTTCATTCAAAATCGTCTCAACCATTCCAGTCCAGTCATACCTCCTGGCACTCATTTGAATGGTGAAAGGAGAACCACGATCCAATTGAACATTAGATCCTGAGCGTATTTGAGGATCGGGCTGACCTCCAGGTCACAGAACTTCACGGTGACTCTTGGCGAAAAGGGGCCAAGACGATCGAAGGTCAACATTATCTAGAATATCTTGCCTTGTCCAAACGACCCTCTCAGCTTCCCATATTTCCCGAGGGTCACTTTAATCCTCCCATCGCTCAACATGTCAGTTCCAGACGCACTCAACCTCGTGTCTGTGGTGAAAGCTATTCAATGAACGACAATGCTAAGCTCTTGGCGCAACGAGCACGTTCTCCTCTTTTGAAAGCTCAACTCGGGTTGGAAAACTTGACTCCTTCCCCGTCTCTCACACTGTATACCATAAATGGAGGACGGAAGGACGAGGAGAAGAATTTGAATGAACGAACGGTACCACCACAAATGATACATACGAATTCTCAAGAGAAACCAAATATGGAACGTAGACCGAGTTACGATCTCTTCGAATGTTGTGAGCATGTAAGATTCACCGATGATCAAGCTAAAAATATCTTTAGACAGATAGGTTGGTTTCTTCTTACATAATTTCGAAGTAGGACAAAAATTTTAACATCAGTTCAAGCTGTTGCTTACCTTCATATGAGAGGGATATATCATCGAGATTTGAAAGACGAGAATATCGTCATTGATAGATATCTCAGAGTGAGTGAATTGTCAAAAGATGTTGAGGGGTTAAGCTGAAGGTTTGAAGGTCAAATTGATCGATTTTGGTAGCGCGGTATTGGAAGATGATTTTGATAACCCTATCCAGTACTCGATGTATAGAGGAACGGCAGCTTACGCTCCACCTGGTAAGTTTTCTTCTCTTCTTTCTCTCTATCTCTATCTCTCTGTATTCATATACCCTCGGAGAACATTGTTCATTTGATCTTCAAAATAGGGGAGATTTTGTAGGACGAGCTGATGATTCAGAAATCTCTAGAGGAATGTATTACGAAGCTGCCAAATGTGACGTCTGGGCACTAGGAGTCATATTATCCATCCTTCTCACTGGATCAGTTCCATTCCCTCATGTGAACGATGCGGAGGCAGGAAGGATGGTACTGAAACGACCTATTTCTAAGCAGGCGGAAAGTTTGATGAGATTATGTTTGACCGTCGAGGCAGAAGAAAGACCGAATATATGGAAAGTGAAAGCTCATCCTTGGTTGAGGCAAGTCCCATTGGTCTTTTGATCCAATGTTTTCTTCTGTTTTTCACTGGTCGTACCTGTTCCGACCATAAACGGAGAGGGAGAGATAGTAACATGGAGTCGGATAGGATAGTGAGCGGGTTTGAGTATGTGACTTGGAATGGGATGATGAATTGCGAGAGATGGTTGAGAATCGTTGTATGCTCTTAATGTGTTGTTTTGGGCCATGGTTCAATCATCTAGGTTGCATGTCATGTCTTTCTTGCTTGATTGTATGCTTTGTCGATCGTCAATTTGTTCATGTTCAAGTTTCACACTGCCACACCTGGTCGCCCAGAATCTTCCCACGGTGTCGATGACTCCAAGCCAACCTGAGACGAACAAAGCAAGACGTTTTGAAAAAGATGACCATATCTTAGCTATGCTTTCAACTCATATGCACTGTTACGTCCCATCTTCTTCTCCAGATGTAGAACTAGAAGCTAGGATATATCTTCCATCATGGTCAGAGAAAGATTCATCTTCGGTAAAACCATTATCGCCACAGATAGCGGAAGAGAAATTAAAGCAATGGTATGGGTCAACCTCAGGGACAGGTAGTGATGGAGAAGTGCAAAGACAGAGAAAAGTGATAAGAATGGTATTGGGTGTACATCCTTGGAGTCGATTAGGTGGTAATATGCTTGATCCGTAAGTTCACCTTTTCCACACTTCGCTTTATCATCCTCACCCCGCTGATCCAATTCAATTCACTATGACGTTTCATCTTCAAACCTCATCCATTTTGATACACCATAACGAATCCAAAGATATGTCGTATCAAATGTTTAGTTTGTCAATTGTGGTAGTTTCACTGACTCAAATATGTGAAGAAGTAAGTAAATACAAAGGATGTTAATTGATATTCAAGCGTATTGACACATTCACTCGTCCCCGCCGCTCTCAGTCATTCAAGGACAGGAGTGATCACCATCAATATGCGAGGTGTTGGCTTATCAGGAGGATGGCAAGCTTGGTTAGGGTCGGATGGGGCTGGTAAGGATGTGATAGCGGTTGAAGAATGGATGGGGAGGATATTGGGTGTGAAAGAGGTTTGGAGATTGGTTTGTTTTCTCTGACCTCACTTCCACCCGCCGCACCCGTTCTCCCCCCATCACCACCTCCGTTGATCTCTACCTCGTCTTTTTGATATTCTCTCTTCCTCGCAACCGACCACTTTCTGTGAAAGCGTGACACTCTTCCTCCTTCTCACTAATTATTCCTTCTCGAGTTTATGGGCTATCTATTTTGGAACCACCGGATCCCTGTGACACTCAACGAAGTCCAGGAGTATGGCTGGGATGTGGATGTTTAGCAGAAAGAGAAGAACACAACCAGCGATCAATCTAATTCACCCACAGGGATATTCATGGGGAACCATGTCCGTCCTCTCGCCCGCACCTTCTCCTCCCCTTCGTCTAAAAGGAATCTTCTTGGTATCTCCCCCATTGTCCATATTCAAACTCACCGCTTTCGTTTCTTCTTCTCTCTTACCCGCCGCCCTGCAGACAATCTTGGACGATCCCGAGACGTCGAACACAGCTTCAGCGGATCGGATACGAATATGGATGATCCACGGTACGGAAGACGAGTTCACCAGTAATTCCGTCTATCATGCTTTCTCTGAGAAATTCGAAGGAAGAGGATTACATATTGTTGAGATACCTTCTGGAGGACATTTCTATAGGTCTCAGGAAGAACACGATTTGTTGACCAAGACGATCAAGGAGTGGCTGGAGTGAGGTGACTAGTTGGCATGGAGGTGACACAATTGTCCCATTTTATGAACAACTTTTGAACCCCTAAAAAGTAATGTTTCCCTTGATCCCTGATCTATCGGTGCGGCACGGCGAACGGATGTTTCAGGAAATCCCGGGTTTTCGGACCTGATTGTTCTAGACCCAATTGACCCTTGAGTTTCTCCGATCCGAGGCTGCTGTTCACCCGCGGCCCGCGGCATGGGTTTCCCCCCCCCCCAAAGAGAAAACTCGGCCTTCGGGGAATATGACGTCTGGATACTCTCCGAAAACCACGTGTCATACCTCTGGTGGCTTGTCATTCGTTAGTTACCCCTCAAAATCCATTTTGAGGGTTGTCAAAAAAAGAAAAACAAGTGACCTTTCTTTCTCTATTCTCTCCAACTCTTACTCCTTCCCTTCTCACCCTCTCCCCCTCTCCCCCGTCTCCCCTCTATCTAATCCGTCTTCGACCCTCCCAAAAGAGGAGTCCTACCACACAGTCCCGGCGCATCCGGAGAACAAGAGAGAAAAACTACCAGAACCGATCAGATCCCATCCACGGTAGCAGCACGGTTCCGAATTAGGGGGAGGATCCAAAAAGAGGGTACTACTCTTTTCTTTAATGTATTGAGACGACACAACACTCTTTTTTTTCTCTACTACACTACTATCAACCATACTGTCTTTACGTCTTTCACTCTCTTTCTTCCACTGACTGTAAAAAAGAAAAAAAGAAAAAACATTCTCGAGATCTTACAGTGGTGGTCACCTGTAACTTGGTTACTTCAAATTAAAAAACCCCTCGAGTGATCACGATCAACTATCAGTTTATAACCTTCCTTTAACGGCATCCCTTCCTAAAACGCCAAGAAGTGCAACATCTGAGTATAACGCCCCTCGCTCCACTCAAAGATCCGTAAACGGTGGTGCGGTGCGATATTACAGTACGGTCAGTTTTGTAATCCCATCTCTTTCTCTTTGTATACTTTGACTAACAAGCAGAGCTTGCTATACAAACAAAACATTCATCTCTCTCAAAACCGACAATCCTTTCAATTACACACTCTCTGATTTTTCTTCACATTTCGAATACTCACTCTCTCAAAACGAACTTGATTTTTAAACATCCCTCATCGATATCTCCATTGAAAGTCGACTAAAATGTACACATCAAATTCTTTTTTACTCCTTCTCTTACCCCTCGTCGCGGCATTCGCAGATCCAGCTTTACACAAAGCAGCAAGATCTAGATCTAGACATCTCCCAGCGAATCCATTACAAATCCGTCATAATGTCAAAGCGCGACATGACGAACTCGAACATGTTTCCCCAAGAATATCAAAGAGGGATTCTTATAATGGTCGAGCTACATTCTACGATGTCGGTTTAGGAGCTTGTGGTTGGTGGAACGTAGCTTCGGATTACATCGTTGCACAGAATTCCGATCAATTCGGATCTTCTTATCCTTCACCTAATTGTGGGAAATCTATCACTATTTCTTATGGTGGGAAAACGGCTGTAGCTCAAATCGCGGATGAATGTCCTACTTGTCCTTATGGAGGTTTGGATATGAGTAGATCTTTGTTTGATCATTTTGCTGTGAGTTGGTAGTTCCCCCCACCTCTCTTTAACAACCATTTTGACCTTCGCATCTCGTTATCCTCCCTTTCCCCTTTCCCCCCTTCTGCTTCACTCGATACGCCACACTTGGTCCTTTTGACAATCCTCAGCCATTCAATCGGTTTTTCTTCTCCGGACATACCCAGTATCTTGCTCTGTGAGCTGTGTGGAACATCGGCTGGAAGAAGAAAAACGAATAAAAATACTGACTTTCAGTCCGAAGATGTAGGAACTTTTCAAATGACTTGGTGGTATAACGATGGTTCTTCTTCACCAACAACGACCACCACCACTACTCAATACACTCCAACATCCACTTACACACCACCGACATCAACATACGTAGCACCAACAAGTACTTACACTCCACCTCCATCGACATCTACAACTACCACCGATACCTCTACTTCCGTACCTACATCCACATCCATTTCAACATCTATCTCTATCACCGCTTCCACTTCCGCGTCAATATCCGCTAGTGAAAGTATAAGCGCTTCGGCGAGTCCTAGTCTTATTCCTGTGGCTGCGATGCAGAACAGTACAGTACCCATCACTTCGAATTCTACTGAAGTAGGTGATGTGGGTGATGTAGAGGATCATCAAGTTCAGATGCAATTAGGGAATTTGGTTTTGATGAGTCAAGCAGTGGCCACGTTAGGTCAAGTGGTCGTTGCTGCTGCGTCCAGTTGAGGATAGTCTTCGTTCAGTTGGATCTCGTATATTCATGGAGATTTCTTCATTGGAGATCTTGCTCTTTTGCTTCATTTGACACTCCTTCTTATTGCCATAACAAGTGAATTGTACGGGATGAATGAAATTTGGAAAGGAAAGAGTGAAGGAAGATAAATGGGATGGATGAGAAGGAGAAAGTGGTCAAAGGAAGTGAACGGGGGATGGTGGAGCGTGGCTCAATTGGTCTGGTAGCATGGACGATAAACACTTTCTTTCAATGAAGGACATTTTGACATTTTGACACGTTATTTACATTTTGGGCTTTGGGTAGTATCTATCAATTCTTTTTGTATCATAGTCACCCACTGTCCCATGAACAATTTTGCACTTGAAACCACTTATCTTCCTACTCTGATAATCATGAAGAGAACGGAGTATATGTCCAAAATGCATCGTTGTTATCATGCTTTCATCTGACCCTCATTCCCCTTACTGCTGTTTGTGTTGAGGTACAGCCCGTGAATTCATGCTGCGTCTGGATAAATCTGTCATAACTCGTTGTCAACAATTTTTAACTTTCATAACATCCAAACCATCCAACACCTCGATATCTCCTGTATTTGTATCCCACGACCACACCTAAAAACCGGGACATGATTCAACAACAAAACTATCCTTTACCCTTTCGTATTCACCCTCGACCATTTGCGCTGAACGGATAGATGTGAAACCGTAGACTTTTCATCCCTCCCACGCACTGGTACTCAATAACGGTCCCCCCAAAGCTGCCTGCGCCATACCCACACCCACATCCGACCCTATTCCTCCGTTTGTGGACATTGCCCCAACACCGAGCATGGGACCTAAAGAACCATTGGAGCTGATATACGCCTGAGAATTAGATTGAGGGAACAAAGCTAGTGCTTGTTGAGGAGTGAGATTTTGGAAAGATTGTCCTATCGTTCCTCCATTCGCCATACTCTGCATTCCATTTCTCATTCCTTGCATGATTTGGTTTCCTCCTCCCTGTACCCCTCCTCCCACGTGGTGTGAATTTTGGACGTGTTGAATATTGTGCATGTTTTGGATTCCCGCCATTGTCAGACCCGATGGTGCGGTCGGATTCTGAGAGTTGGTAAATTGTCCGTTGTTGCTTCCACTTTGCCTACGAGCGAGTTCTGTCTGTAATTGTAACATGGCGGGATTGACCCCTCCAACATTGGGTTGTGCATATAAAGAAGGAGCAGAAGAAGGCTGTTGATGTTGATTTTGTAATTGTGGAAGAGAATTTTGATTATGTTGTTGATTTTGAATCGGTTGTTGAAAAGTAAAAGAATCCTTTCTACTTGGTGTCATCTCACTCTGACCTGATGTTCTCCGCTGAATACCCTGCGGCGTCGAAGAGTTTTGTATGGGATATGACTGAGGGTACGTATCGGACGTTTGCATATTTTGATAAGGATATGGAGACTGTGTATGTGATGCCGATTTGGGAGGATATGAAGGCCGAGACGGATGACCAGGTTGAGAAGAAGAAGAAGGAAAAGACGAGACGTCGAATTGTGATGGATGATTTTGGGTGGTGAAAGAATCGGTATTTGGTATTGATGATTTCACAGGTGAATGTGATTTAGGATCATGTTGAGATGTATGACCGTTACTGTATTGTTCCATTGATCCCATGTGATCTGTTTGCTGTGGCGTAGACTCAAGTAATGGAAGTGGAGATGGATTAGAGGAAGAAGGAGAATCATCGGATGGAGGGACAGATGTAGATGTTCGTACGGGTAATCCATGAGTGTAATAACGTGTAGAATGTCGGTCGACGAGGAAAGATTGAGTGTTGTAATCCCATTGAGGACCTCTTTCACTTCGTGCTCGAATCAGGAGTGAATTCCTATTTATCAATCAAGAAACTTGTTTCTTCGTATATTCCAACATCATGACACACTCATATACCCTTGGAGAAAGGATATCGAGCGAAAATCACTATATCAAATGTGAAAACTCACCAATAACTCGCTCCAGTTTGTATCTCCCCCCGATCAACCTCTTTCCTTTTTCCTGTGGACATTGGCGTCTCCCCAACCTGAATGTTTTCGACTTCCTGAACACCTCCTGTGTTCCCTTCACTTTCTATCGGTGCGTTGTCCGGAGTCATAGGTGTCACACTCTCCCTAGCGGCCAACATGGCCAATTTCCGTTTAGTCTTCCAATGCAACGGCGGGCTGGATTGACGTTTCCTCGCCACCGAGTTTGGTGGTCCGGGTAATGGTGAGGAGATCGATGGAGCTGGAGGAGGAGTAGAAGGTCCCGCGTAAGGTTTAGGAGGAAGGAACGAATCGATATTCATGACTTGACCATTCTGCCGGGCTAAATCCCGGGCGATCATCAAGACATCCATATGGGGAGGATCGGATGTATAAGGTGATGGTGAAGGTAAGAGGAGTGTGATGGATTTAGGAGCGTGGGATCGTGGCATTTTGTATGATTCTTTCCTTCTGTTATATGATCCGATGGCTTGAAAAAGTGGATGAGTCAGTTTCAATGTTTCGAAATCTGATGAAAGCTTCTAAGAAGTGCCGGTGGTCGGAGGTCGGATGAATTTGGTGAGAGGGTCCGACAAGTCCCCCGCCAAAATGATTCAGGCCAGTGTTTATTCACACGGATGTTTGTGGGGTGCACTGATGAATAGGGAGAGATCAGAGGTGGAGATTAGAGGAGAGTGAAAGACAGGCGCGAAAGGGGAAGAAGGAAGAAAGTTGAAATCGAGAAAGCTGTGAGGAAGCTTCGACCTGACTGACAATGGGATCATGCCACGTGTCATTCACAAATAATTGTCAGGCTGCTTCCACCTTTCGAACCGCTGTGTCGCCATCTTGACGACTAACGAGTAAATTAATCTAAACTACTATTAGCTACAAGGTATTCAACTGATTCGATGACAGTCAGGAGGTTGAAACACTTGACCATTATCCCATGCTCCTTAGCTTCATCCAGATACTCCTTTTGTACTCATACTATATCTCAACATGTGCCGCCCAATCTGCTACGTCCACATCCAGCATCACCGCCCCTTCCTCCATTCCGACAATAACCATACCTACCTTACCTTCCCTCCTAGCCCTCTCTCCTCTTAACTTGTCTCACCCTTCCCTGTCACTATCTCTTCCACAATCAGACTCTCTATATGTAACTCTCAACCTATGTTCCCTATCCTCCAATACCTCTCTCCTCCCTACCATCCGCCTATCTACCTCCGACCCACCCAGCTTCATTCTCGGTAGTCGGACCTCTGTTGATGTGACTTCCGGCGGATTCCATTCTTCTCCTAACAAACGTAGTCGGAGTGGTATTACCTGGGAACTGGAATGGGATAGAGGATTCGCAAATTGGACCTCTAGCTCTCTGTCTGCATCCGTCAATCTACTCATCGGTCTTGGTTTGTCGGACGATGGGATTGACACAAGTGTCATCACAAATGCAGATGGTAATGTCGTTGTTCAAATTGGTCTTTCCTCCCAAAGTAAGCTCATCTTTCACTCCACAATCAGCAAGCTAAGACTTAGAACCCATCCATTCCCTATCTCCAACATTCCCTTTGCTGGGAGATACGACCTCAACCACTGCTCTCATCTTTTCTCCTATACTACAATACTCACCCCAAATTCAACCCACGTACCCTGTTTACACCTTTCCACAAGCTCAACTCACACTTCCTTCTTTCTCCCCATCCACCCCGACCAACTTCAGCTCAACGAATATGTCGTTGATGCTCCTTCCCACAAATGAATCTCCCACTACTCAAGGTTTGGATCATTCATCATGCGCCGTGAGATTGGTGAATGATACGAAAGGAATATCTACGACGAACAATATCATTTTCAACTCGTCAGAACCTACTTGGATGTCTGTCGGTGGGGAAAAAGGGTTCAGAGTGTTTTGGGTTGTAGGGGGATTGACAGCTGGGGGGACGAATTATACCGCTTGGGTTGTGGATGATCAAGGAATGTTGAGTCGACCCATATGGTTGACTACCAAAGAAGGTAAGTAAGCTACTTACGTTGCTTCACATTCAAATCAAATATCTATTTGCACCCTTTACTTAGTGATTCCTATCCTCTGCATTGTGCCGCACTTCTATGGAAGCCTTGTCAATTCCATTTGTTCTTTTGTTGATAGCAGACACCTTTCCATGTCAATTAACCCTTCCAACTCCACTCTGTCCCTCTATAGGGTATTCATCACCATTACCTATCAACTCCACCGCGGTTACTTCACCATCAGGTGACCTCATCTCTCCCACTTCACCGATCTCAACTCTCCCACAGGCGATCGTGGATCTCGTCACCTCTTCCCTCGAAGCATTCTCCGTCTCACTCACTACGACAGCTTGTGGTCGAGATCAATATTCTCACGTCTCAACATGTCTAGATTGTTACACTGCATATCGAGATTGGGTATGTCGGGTTACCATCCCACGATGCGGATCATCTCTTCCGATCTCTTCTACTTCCCCATTTCAATCCCAAAATGTCATCGCCCTCTCTTCCACAACTCAAGGGACGGACATCCAAGAAAGACAAAACTCAGAGCAAGATCTACGAGTAGAGGTACGAAACTATGACGATCGAAATTTACTCAAGCAAATCGAAATGAAAAGAATCAACGACGACGAAAAGGTCCTTCCGCCAGGTCCATTTACAATCCAAAGAACTTCCACCTCCGCTAGAATCCCCTCACTTGACCCAGTGTATACATACGACTATCTAGAACTCTTGCCTTGTCTCTCGACGTGTAATGCGGTCGATAGGGCGTGTCCCGCTGTACTCTTGTTCCGATGTCCGAGTAGGAGCGTACGTACGGCTAATGAAAGTTATGCCTTCTATGGACATGATAATGATGTGGGGGATGGGAGTGGTGTCACCGGTCAGTCCGCTAGCGATAGATGGGGGAATGTGTGGTGTAATGGGCCTTGATGAGCCTCGATGATCTTTATCTCCAATGTCGACTTCCCTCGAGTGGGATACCACCAGAGACATGCAGCCTGTCGAAGGCCTCATGGATGTCTGTCTATATAGGGTGGACTCGCACCCCAACGAGAGGGAGCCGGTCACCCAGCCATCACCACCGCGAGCCATGTTCATTTTGATGTGGGTAGGTCTAGAAACATGACGTCAGATGGGTGGTCCCATTCAAAGCATCTAAACAAATGTGGTATACATCTCATGAATGTCATTATTCTACCCAAACTCGTACCGTTCTCAACATACGTAGATATCGTCAATATCCTTCTAAACATCGTAACAATCTCGAACCAGCTTTATTCCACAGTCAAACGATATTCCACCGAACAAGTCATCATATCATCCGGAGCCAAATCAGCGAACCCATACACCTTCATCCGACCAGATTCGAGTATACGTACGCAGAATTGCTGACCGTAACGTTTGCCCACTACTCCTTCCTGCTCTACTCCTTTCTTCCGACCGAACCTGGTTTCGATACCAGAAGTCTGAAGGTGGGTCATGGGATGGGGTACGAATTCCCAACATGCTCCCCAGAGCGTTCCAGCTTCCTCGGTTTCGGGCTCGTTTGAGGTCGTATCGGACGCTAATTTCAGCGAAGAGACGGGCAAAAGGTCAGGGGTGAGTGGGAAGAGAATAGGACGCATGGTACCGTACAATAATGGGAGCCATGGGAGAGCGGTCATTTGTGGTATCGAGGCGAATGTGGAGGTTTTGTCAAAGCTCATTACTGGCAGGGAAGGGTGAGTGAAAGTTCCTATAGCTGCACTTGGGGAAAGGATTGGAGGATCGGAGATGGGAGGGGTGAGTGAGGGTGGTGGGTAGAGTGTTTGGAGTCTGTATGTCAACTTCAGCGTCGACACACTCATCATTTGTAGCGTAGCACTTGAGTGAAAGCCGACTTCCCAATTAGACGTGAGAGAACGTGGATATCTGAAAAGCTGATCGTTGGTATTGTAGATAAGGACGAAACATAGGATGACCAAATGCAATGGAGATGTTCTTGTGAAGGACAGACTGAATGTTTTCCGGGTTGAAGAGAAAGAGTCAGTACTCTACTCACCTTCCCACCCAATCCTCCTTTTCAAGTCCAGCGATAATTTCCACCAACCTCATCATAGTCCAACCCATCACAGCATTTCCCTCTTCAGCATTACAAGCCATCCACCATCCTATTTCATAATCAGGAAGCATTACCAAACCAGTTCGATATCCAGCACCTAAACCAACATGTAATAACATTTTGACACCTCGATGTGAACAGGTCCACATACCCATCCCATATTTCATATTGTCCAACCAAGGGAAGGCGAATACAAGTGGGAAAAAAGCGTCCATTTGCGGTACGCAAGCTTCTTCGAACCTTTTAGAAGTGGAGAGATATTTAAGCCATAGTGACATATCTCTTGCAGATGAGAAAAGACCGAAACCACCATATGAAGTGACGAGTGGAAGAGGACAGGTAAGAGGTTCAGGAGTACCAGTAGGACTGTATTGAGCTGCAGCATCCGTCGAACTGGAAGTGTAGGATGTAGATGTCATTCCTATTTTTGACACAAAGGACGATACCAAAGAGGGGTAGGTATCGCGAGTAGAAAAAGACACTTTGGTTATCAAGGTCGGAAGGAGGTCGTATCCTGCGTTACTGTATTGAAACGCTTTTCCTGATTTATGAGTAGCGGGTAGATGGGCCAAGCGTTCTACCTACTGAGTCAGCTTTGCACAAATGCCCAGAAACATTCAAGCCAGTCGACTAAACATGAGATCTTTGATGGGAAATTTCAAGCGAGATGTTGACTCACCATATCCATCTCCCAATATTTCTCATGATACCCCATGTTCCATCCTGGCATACCTGATCGATGACACAACAAGTTCCGTACCGTCACCTCATCCGCCCCGGGTGTGGCAAACTTGAAGTCCGGGATGAGCTCCTTGACCTTTGTGTCAAGCCCTTTAGGAGTTTCGGTGGTCGTAAACTCTTCCGCTGCAATGATGGATGTGAACAATTTGGTCAGGGAACATAGTGGGAATCTGGTCTGCATCATCAACACAGACAGGTTTCGAGTTCCAGTAAAAGACTCACCGAGTCAGTGACGGGCAATCCGGGAGAAGCCTCACCGTAACAGCGGATGAGAGTGTCTGTGAGGTCCGTCGAGGAGGCTAGTTGTCCTGATTTGGGAAGACGAACAAGGCTCAGTACAACCCCTGGAACAGAGTATGAGTCCATCAATCTCACGAGAGAATCATCAAAGTCCTTCGTGAGGACAGTCTCGAGGTTAAGAAGGTGTTTCGTCATCTTAAGCGGTATGAATTTGATTATTTCAGTTGCCAAATAACGTGTGAGAAGTAAGAAGTGGAAATCAAACCAAGAATCCAGTAACATATGTACCAGACGGACACCCTGACGACAGGAAGCTTATCTGACGGCGGTAGCGGGTCGTCCTGATCGGCCTGAAGAATTTGCCGGATAACCGAACACCCTTTCCAACTTTTGAACCCTGCATTTGGGAAACCTGCATGCCATCAAGACTAGTTACACGTTAGCGGCGGACGAGAATCGGACAAGATCCACTTACAGAGCTTGGGGTACTCGAACTGGCCTCGCCAGACTCCGGCAGGGTCAAAAGTCTCAGCTTGGACCTCACGGGAGCCCCGTCGAGGGCATGAGGAGCGGATCGTTTTCGCCATCGTGACGGAGTGCGGAAAGGGATCTTTCCCTCCACGACCATCTCTAATTCTGTGACACTGACCATCAGATAACATCGCCAAGCAAGTGACACATCACTGACCGATCACGGATCCTCTCATTTTCCGGTTGGTACACTAATGCCTCCCGATACGCTGCCAAGGTCGTCACCAAGTCTCGTCTGCCATATGAGAAGAAGCTGTTTGAGCCAACATCATGCAAAAGGACCTACTTTTCGTGATGGTCCCTGGCAAAGTCGACCAAAACGCGGAATCGATCTTGCTTTTGTTCCTCCGTGAGGGAGGTAGCATTTTCTTTCACAAACGGCATGGAACTAAGCGTTTCGGAGTGAGTCAATTCGGCCTCACTTTCAGTCTTTGATTGAAGTTCCAAGACCTGCAATGTTGGTCAAATATTTTGATCATGGAATTGCTCACAATTCGCTTTACGTCGTCCTCTGTCAGTCCCGACGGTTTGACAGGTCCATCATTCTTGACCATGGGGCGAGCATTATTTGACAGTACACTAAGAGGCACCCGTGTCGCCCCAATAGATGTACGGCTGGTGACAGACACAGTACGCGCCGGCAACGACACCCTACGCATGGATGACGAAGTTGCTCGGACAGAACTTGGCCCTCGGATTGGCAACGACGCTCTAGGTCTAGGGCATTGGGTGGTGATGGGATCTTCTTTGCTCGAGTCTGCAGCTTAGCACGTGTCATCTGGCGGTGACCCGTTGACTAACCTGGTATGTCTATGTAAATTCTGTCCTTGATCTTCTTGCTACGATCACCGAACCTAGCTGTAAGCAGCCGTTCGCGAAAGCCTCTACTCACTGTAAGGTGTTGAATGTACCGGCTCGGTATTTCTCCCCGGGAGCCACGCAACAGATCATCAGACATCGTGAAGTTCCTCCCAGAGAGTCTTGCATGAGCCTAGTGAGCTTGCAAGTCCGAAAACTTGGCTTTTGGCCGGCTAATATCTGATCCACTATTCTTCCAAGATGTGATAATGAGGTGTTGATCGCTTTGCTCTACTCATTTCAGCGTCCACGTCCAACTCAAAACACGTGAAGAGACTCACCTCTGCCATGCGCTCCTTATCGTTTCCCGTCAATCGGTTGTTCTCCGATCCAGCAAGGTCGCATAACCACGGGTCAGTGCGAGTCTAATTGGAGTGTTAACCTACCATGATTTTCCCTTTCGCCGTTGAATGAGTCTTTTCGTCCCGGATCTCAACATGTATGGAGAGGATAGCATGAGAACGTGAGGATTGACTGTTGAGCTTTGTGGACGCGGTTTTCCGTCGTGCATTTGCGACTCTACACGTTTAACATGAGACCTAATCGGCCATTACCCAAAGCTCACTGGTATACGGCGTCAAAGTCTCCCATCGACCCGATGGGTAAGACGGTAAGACCAGGAATCTGTGGCTGGCCTTGACTCTCGAGTATTTGCAGAGGTTGGGGCTATTTAGAATGAGCCTCCGATCTTCTTCCCACGTCTGGCCTCTCACCGTATTGTCTGTTCTATCGGCAAGAAGGTCATATACTTGGTCCTTCAGTATCTCCTTCTCCGTTAGCCGAGCCCTGGTCGCTTTCGAACGCCGAAACACACAAGATACGTAACGGAGACATCGACATTCCGACCCGAGCTACCAGCGCTGTCGCCCAGTATGCTCTGAGAGGTTCAGCTAGCCTCGACGGCGTTACAGACAGCACAAATTACCTCTACGACCTGTGGTATGATTCCGGGCTCTTCGGATGTACCTTGCATAGTCTTCAAAACATCAGCTGGCTCATCTCTCGGGAACTTGCGACACACGAAAGTCTTGCCACTGCCCGTAACGCCGAACGCTACGACCGTCGCGTTCTTACGGTCAGCTCACTTCTATAGGTCTCTATCTGCTCACTTGACCCGATAGGACATGCTGTACTCTGATCAGTCAGCTTGAGGGACACAAGGAAAAGGTCGACTTGCAGAGGTTGTACACCTTCGAATACGGTCTTTTGAGATGAGTGACCATCGTAAGATCTATCGTACCTGTAGTGTGAGTCACAGGGGGAGTCAGGGGAGATAGATACACGTACGAGAATGTAACAAGGCTGGATCCAGCGGAGTTCAGAGTGCTGATGGTATTTGAAGAGACAGAGAGATGCGCTGGGTTGAAATGTCCGTCGTCGACGACGTGAGGTCGCACCCTAGCATGCGCTTGAATGCTTTTGTCCTGCATGGTGCTGAGTGATTATTCGATTCGGAGCACGTCAGTATCCCGGTAGATGTCAGAGAAAAAGACAGTGAATATGAGTGGTGTTCGGAAGCATGGACATTCTTGTTGACCCAAGTAGAGTTTTGATCAACCCCCTCCATCGGTCAGAGCGCTCTATCAGTTGCAACTCGGAGAAATCCGATCTGACATGGATTTTCTACTGTGAGGAATCTGCGCTGAATATGGCTCTACCAACATGTGAAAGGTCGAAGACGACGTATTCCCCTCGTCAAAAGCAAAGTAAGTAAGTTACTATGAGACGAGCTGGGTTATCGACTTTCTGTACGGTGCGTCGGTGACATACCGCCACTCCCGGCGTTTTCGGCGATTTACACCGATCACCTACCAGAAATCAAAATCAGTCGCGTCAACAACCAGTTTGACGACGAACAACATCACTGCGGTAACAATGAGAACCTCTAATCAACCCACAGCGGCCAGGCAATCCATCTCACGCCATGTAGATCAGTGAGTTTATCCCCCATCACCTCTCATACTCGATGCTCACCTACAGACTCATCGCTTCCTCCTCCGACCCGCTTCATCTGGAGAAATACAGAGATCAATTTCATGAAAGGGCTCTCAGAGATGTGACAGGTCATGGCAATGACTCGGCTTTGGTACTGGACCCCAGTAACCCGTTACTGGTCAAAGCGGAGATGGAAGCTCAGAAGGTAAGTCTTCCCCCTCACATTCCGCATCGAGGCAAATTGACCATGACAGGATTACTTTCGCCGACTAAAATTCACTTACCTCGAACAAGAGGCCAAGAGAAACTTCCTTTTCTCAATCACGGGTGATGAGCCCCAAGTAGTGCCACCAGGAGAAAACGAAGAGAGAGGTTGGTGTTTTTCCACTCCTCGACCCTGTGTATACCAAGCTGATGACTGCAGAAATAATCAACGCGCAGAAGAAAGCAGCTCTGAAAGCTTTGAAAGAGGAGATTGCGACGATGCAACAAGAAGCGGTCCAACTTGCTCGAATGAATGCTCAACGTCAGTTACAAAACTCCTCAAGTAGCATCAGCTGACAGGTAGGCCAACTGAATTTGTCAAATACCATGACCGAAGTGCAAAAAGAGCAGAAACAGATCAAAGAGATGGAGTTGGAGTTGCAACGTATACGAACCACCTACCCTCCAGATCACGTCAGTGCAAAAGATACATGAGCCGTAAATGAGGGTGCTGATAATTCCTCAGAGATTAACTTCGAGTCAAGCGGAGAAAGTACTCGACGAGCAAGTAGTCGAAATCCAACGTTTGACAGAAGAAATATCTACAACTGTCGTTGAGACGGATAAAGCAAGGGAGGAAGTGACTCGACTCGCCAAAGAAGTCAGCATTCTTCGCTTGGAAACTTACCTTCTGCTGATGACTGCAGGTACAGCGACTTGGTCCTCAACGAGATAGAGAAGAAGCACGAGCGAAAGAAGTCCGAGAGGGCAGAGAAGCAGGGGATACAAAGGTGGACGAGGTCTGTCGAAGGTACATTCTTTTACCGTCCAAACTTGACTTCTGGCGGTCACTCATCCTGCAGTTTGTCTGCAAGCATCGTCACGTATCGAGGTATCATGGGAATCCGAGAAATTAAAGCACCGTCAGATCGTGAACTTCAGTTGACATACGACGTTCCATCTAAAGATCCTATCACTCTCATCATCGAGTTTGATCAATCCAAACGGTTAGCAGGGGCTAGGGTGAGTACAGCAGTCAACATTCCTTATCGCACGATATGGCAAAGGGATATGTTGACGTTCAGTTGCTAGGTAGCGATATCGATATCGGAGAATCTGTCGACCACTGCGTAAGCAGCAACGACGTTCCAGGTCTCATCGCAGATGTTCTCATCAGGATTCGATCTCCTTTATAATGTGTGTTTGTGTTAGTTGTATCATTTTGATTTCTCCTATCTGTATACTCCAATCATCTCACATTGCACATACTGAACACTGAACTAAGATTGAGTGAGGACCATTGAGAGAAAAAATACCATCGTTACACATCTGTTTTGACGCTGTATAAAGGTGACTGACCATTGACTAGTCATCCTTTCTTTTCCACTCCTTTGTACTCTGGCACAATCATACTCACCTCCTTTCTTCTACTACTGTGCTAATCGACTATCTCTCCATTCGTACATCTACACATGTTGACATCTCCCACCCGCATCAGGAGTAGCTGACAAGTCTAATTTCTTTCACTTTTTGACCTAACAAAAACAATCATCGATATTTAACACACAAATGTCAAATCAACACAGCCACGATGCGGCTCTCGTGTTCGAAAATGATATGGGTGAAGAAGGAATCACAACGTCCCATTTCACTTCGGGTGATACTCCTACCGAAAATAACCGAATGTTGGGCAGGAAGAAGAATAAATCTAAGATGAAAGGATCGGAGAAGAAGAAAAGGAAAAGAAGAGTATATACATTCCAAACGTATAACGGTCTGAATACAGGCTCTTACGATATAGACCATTCCGATGAGGATACTCCATCTTTCCTTTCGATGGAAGATATAGGGATGCGGGAGGTAAGAGAGATAGTGGGAATTGGGGGAAATGAGAGTTTCAAAACCAAATCATCTCAAGATGGTCAATCACAAAGAGATTCATCTCAATTGACCGTAATTTCAAATGAAGGGGAAGAGAGTCGAAGGTTTATATGGCGGATGAAAGATTTTCGTAGACCACAAATCTCCTTGATATCGCATAAGGGGTATATGATACGAGAGAATATTAAGTGTAAGTAGTAGAGTGTTGGTGTGGTTATATGATAAATCTCCCACAGGTGAGTTTCATCAATGAGCATGTGAGAGAAAAGAAGACAAAGCTGATGTTGTAGTTGTATCAAAATGATATACGGATCTTTCTCCTTCGCATGTATCAGTACGATTCCACTACGTCATCTTCATACCCCCCGATCTGTTCCATGCGGAAAGAGTAGAGTACCAATCAGTCATACCTGTTAAAATGTTACAGAATAAAATGTAAAAGATTTATCATGCAAATGCAATGCAAAGTCTCTTCAAACTAGACAAAATCATCTTATCAACCCTTGAACCTGTCCATCCTCTTTATACCTCGTTAAACTCCTCATCAACTCCCTCGCTTCTCTTGCCGGTCGAGCGATAGCGGAACCTTCCACCGCTACACTCGCAGACACCTTACGGGCTATATCACCCACGACTTCGAGTTCGTAGAACGCTTCTGGACATGTCTCCAATACGGACAAGATCGAAATACTGACCAATGCTGTGGGAGGGGTGGGAGCTGCTAGGAAGGTACTATTAAGTCAGTCATCACTACCTTATGCAGAGAAAATACATGCGTTCTTGAGTGAATAAGTGGGTAATGTGAGAAGGTGGTAGAGTGAGACTTACTCTACTATAGAACGTATACTATCAGGATCATTCTTTGCCAAACCAGCAATGACCTTTCCAATAGCTTGATTATAGTTTTCTACTTTTATCAGAGTCGAATCACAAACGAAATCAAAAAGCAAGTGAGAGAAAGAAAAAGACATACCATGCCGTCCTTCCATAAACGCCTCCTCGACAAGATCTATAATAGCCGTTCTGGCCGCTGGACCAATATTCTTTCCCGCACTATTACAAACGGCCGCAAGGGCTTGTACCATCGAAGGTGCAATATCCTTTTCGCTAGATTTGATCCCACCTATCAATTCCGTAATGAGAGGATCTACTCGAGTCTTCAAAGTCAATCATCACTCCGCAAAACAGCAAAAGTAAGAACGAAAACCCACTTGATGCTTCATCAATTCCCCTAGACCAGCTGCTGCTCTAGTTCGGACAGAAGCTGCAGCAGGATCAGAAGCAGACTTGACGAAAGTTCTTGTGAGTTGGGGGTGGAAAGGTCGGACCAGCTGAGGAACCTCTTCTAGCAGTACGGTCAAAGCGAGTAATCTGTTAAATCAGTCTCTGAACAAGCTTCTAACGTTTAACTCACATAGCACTCTTGATCTGAGGAGCGATACCTGCTCCTGAAATCACACGGATGAGCGGACCGGTGAGTTGAATTATATATGGTTTGATGGCTGATTCTGTCGTTCGTTGTACTAATTCCCCAATACCCAAAGCTGCTTGTTCACGTTGTTCTTGTGTTCCCGAAAGAACACCAGCAAGAAGGATAGGAACGATAGATTGAACACCTTTTGGTCTTGAAAACCCAGCAACGTCCACACCTGATATAGCGGTTGACTCGATAGATCTACGGAGAACGACAACGAGATCTTTCAGATCGTCTTGTGGGATAGTCTTGACGAAATTATCTAATGCCTGCCAGGCGGCATTGACGACTTTTTCAGCAGGGTCGGCGAACATTGAAATGAGAATTCGGATCCAGTCGACACGATAGTCTGAAGTGTCGGCAGTGTTGACCTGACAGAATGTTCCAAACGCATGACAAGCACTGGCACGTATTGTCGATCGTGGATCCTTTGCCCTGAGGTGATTAGCACGGCCACGGTATGGTGATGAAGACGTACCATTCCATGAGCAATAATTCAAGAACATGAACTCCGTCAGTATCAGTCACGGACGATAGAAGAGATTCTATGGCTGCTTGTAATTCCGATTTCACATCTTCCGACTTTTCATTCTCTAACGATTTGATAAGTGCGCCTAGCACAGTATCCAATCGACGGTTGAGTGCTGTACCAGCAACCTTGACCAAAGAACCCAGGGCACGAGCATTGAATGCTGTGATGGGTTGAGCAACGAGGGTAGGGATGAGTATTGGGAATACACTGTTCGCGCGGACCTGATGAGTCAGTTGAACGTCTGCAGGAATCCAGTGTGAACTGACACTCATGACTTCCTTTAAAGCCTGAAGGGCAGTCTCTGAACTCTCTCCGGGATTACGCATCGCTTCCAGTAAAGTGGGGATGGTTTGATCGACAGCTTTGGTTCCGAGGAAATGTTGCATAGCGTCGAACGTCTTTGCAGCCGCCGATCTGACAGATGCTTCGGGGTCGACCAAGGCCGTTCGGACGGATGAGATGATTGCATCTCCGTAATCGCCAAGGATCTCTTTGTTCGAAGCCGCCCTCCCACGTCAGCTTCGTCATAAATGTAGTTCTCTCAGCTCACATGACATCGGCAAAGGCGAGACAGGCTCCCTCCTTCGTTGCTGCGTCCGAAGCGGTGATGGCTTTCTGCAAGATGGGAATGATTTCTGAGAAGATTCTCTCTCCATTCTTCCTGCACAATTCTCCAAGTGTCCTGGAGGCGGTCTGCATCGTTAGCATCAACGTCCCCTTCACAAAGACTTACCTCCTGCTGCTCGATATGAAGGTCTCCAAGAAGACCCATGATGAGCTGCATGAGTACCGGCAGAATTTCTCTTGTCGTACGAGGCGTGTCTGCGTGTGAGTCTCATATATACGAAGAAGGTGAGGAGCTCACTCTGTACCAGTGCTTTCCAGATATGGACAGACGCTTGTCTGACTGTACTGACATTGTCTTGTCGAACAATGTAAAGAGTAGCAAGAACTCTATCTCGTCTCTCTGGTCCAAGAGCTGCCAGCAAAGCTTTTCGTGCGTTGTCTGCGTTGTGCGCAGGTACCTCTTCGTCTTCCAATTCCACCTTCCCGCTGATACCCGTGACCCGGTATAGCAATTCTCCAGTGAGGGAGATGGACGATTGCTGGAACAGTCAGTCCACAATACATCGATGACGACTCTTGACTCACTCTGATCCGCCAAGAGCCATCGAGCATACCTCTCTCCAACTCAGGGAGTAGAAGATCGACAGCCTTGCTCGAATAATTGGCGATAATCATCTTACCTGCGCGCATGGAAGCCTCTCGCACTGTTCGTGAGTAAGGTCCAAAGTCTAAACGGCATGACTGACCGAACTCTGAGTCGTCCGCTAGACCATTGAGAATGGGCGGTATGATTCTTCCCAGATGAGGTGAGAATCTGTGCCCGAAAGTAGTAGGTAGGTAAACCAGTAAGGAGATGAAGCCTTCTCGTACATATGCTCGAGGGGATGCAGTGTTGGCGATGACATCGGGTAGCAAACCCTCCATTCTGTCCATACCCAGACCAGATAGAACTTCGGAGAGTCCTTGAGCAGCGCCTTGTCGATCAACCCCGCTCGTATCGGATTTCAACGTATGAAGCAGCTGGTTGACTAATTCGGGGAAGTTCTGTTCGCCTAACCTTTCCACTAAAGTACCCAGAGACTTGGCTGCAGTGGCCCTAGCCTCGGGGACGGGGTCGACGAGGACTTCATGTACAAGAGGCATTAGCTCATTGAGATAGGGCACCAGGTCTCTTGATTCTGTCAAAGAAGCCCTACGTTGTCAGCTCAATCACGTATATCACGCCCAACTCACATGTTGCCAACGATCTGGACAGCACGACGTTTAATCTCCGAACTTCTCTGTCGTAGACCTCTATCAATGATCGGCATAACCAACGCCAATGACGGCGCGTCAAGATAATGCTCGAAGGAGGTTTTGAGCAGAGCCGATAGCGCTTTGGTGATATTGGCAGTCGGATCGGCTAGAGCTTTCATCAGTGTATTTTGGATTGCTTTCACTTCAGGGTTGTTGAGAACCTCGCCGAACCGTTTCAAGCTGGTGTTGGCGGCCGCTTTCACTTGAGCATGTGAATCATTGATGACTCCAGTCAAATGAGGAATGATGGTCGGAAGGGATAAAGATAACTGTTTGGGAGCACAGAATGCCATGGATCTGCGCATATCAGCGACTGGTGAGCGAGCCTTCAACCTACTTACCCGAGAAGCTCGATGGATCCCTTTTTGATCCTCCATTGCTTTTCTTCTAGTCCGTTCAAAAGAGTTGGTAGCATGAGCTTGACACAATGACCTGAGATTCGGGACATGATGATCTTGGCGGCGTCTTGGGTTGCTTCTCGGACGTCGGCGTTGGTATCGCCGAAGAGGGCGAGTAAGAGAGGGACGATGCTCAAGATATACGGCTCTGACTTTTAGCCTATGACGTGAACAAGACATCGCGAGATGACTTACCGAATGCCTTGCCAAGTGTTGCAGAGAGGGTTCTGCCAATTAGCATCCATGTGATGAGACGTATCATATGCTCTGCCCTAGTCTCTACCCCTAGGACAAGCGGGCGCAACGTATGACCAAGACCTTTTACAAGCTCGAAACACCACATCGCAAGGTAATTGTCGTCAGGTCGACAAGAGTGAAGCAGATACGAGATTATGACTAGACTCACTCGAAAGCGAACAAAGCCCCCTGTCTGGCTTGATACGATCCCTTGTCTTCGGCAGCCTCCTTCAGCTTGTCCATGAGTTCATACTCTTTGATCATGGTCAATCCTCTCCCCTTCACCACACCGGCTAAACCGTACGCTGCTCCTCTTCGCGAAGCATATTTGCTGCCCGTGGTCAGAGTGGAGAACAACTTGTCCACCAAATATTCTGCCTCATCTCCCATGGTTTGGACTAAGGGAGGTAAACAGTCAGCCACAGCAGACTGTACCAACTCCGAGGGAGTGTTGAGTGCTTCCACCAGACGGTCTACGACTTGAGGAATACGCGAGTCTTGAGGATCGAGATGTCGAGCAAGGCGTCCGAATAGCTGCTACATCAATATTTCCCCTTCTTGATTTCACCTGGTCGTACGATCGCGCTTGGTCAAACGAGAAAGAAAAGAAGGGAGTGTGTCTGGAGAGACTCACAATTACAACAGCTTCCTTGATATAGTCTTCAGTTTCTGAAGACCCACTTTGCCCACCCAGAGTTCCCTCGAACATCTTCATAAGGTCCGCCACATGCTCACCGCCATGAAAATCCACCAACGCTGTGCTAGCCGCCAACATAGCCCTTCGGACTTGTCCATTTCTGTCACCTAAGGCTTGACGAGCGATCATGAATTCGAACATCGATACGACAGCGTCTGCCGGGAACAGAGGGGACAACTTCTCCAATGCCAATGCGACGGCTATCCGGCTTTCGAATGGATCTGGTCGGTTCAACGTTTCAGGAATCACCATTCCAAACCTATCGAACTCTGGCTGTAGCTCTCGAGCCTTGTCCGCATATAAAGCTTGCAGTCCGTCCAGCGTGGGTAAGACTTGAGATGGAAATTGCTGAGCGGCAGTGGCGAGTGCACTGGCGGTGCTGATCCGAACGGCGTTGGTGTCATGCGTAAGATATGTCAGAAGAGATGATAGGTACGTCTCTGGAACATCGAGACCATTGTCTTCCCATAAATGTCTGGCAAGAGAAGAGTTTTGATCGTCCGCATCATGTACTGCAATCCACAATTCTTGTGAATAATCCATGTCGGTGAGGTCGACAGGCTGCAAAGCCTGCAGAACAGCATTGCGAACGTTGGCATCTTTTGACAGTGTACCAGCGATGAGTCGGTTTGATTCTTCCAACGTAGCAACGTCCTTGATGGCGGCTCCTAGATCAACTAACGCAGAAGAAGCATCTTTGGCTAGTCTAGAATGAGTGCCGATGATATCGATGAGCATTTGGATAGTGTCCAATCTAGGGAACGCATCATCGGCGAATTCACCACAACACGCAGCGATGATGTTAACGACGAGGGTGAGCTGTTCTTGTGCTTCATCACTTTGGGCAGAGGGAGTGCCGATTCCGCCAAGAGAAACGACACGAGCGAGTAGAAGACTGACGAGAGAAAAAGAGGTGTTGTCGAGTGGGGTTTGGTCTGCCACGAATTGAAGTTGATGGAGAAGTCGAGTAACGAGTTCACCGATGGGTTCGTCCAGATAGTCTTCCGGGACTGAACGGGAGTTATAGCTTCTTAGAATGGCTGCAAGTAACAATCGCCGATACTCTCCTAATCTTTGCGATGCTAGGGTAGCAAACTGTATGAAGACCTTGAAAGCTTCGTCTTCAACAAGGAACTCGCCAGAAGCAAATACACTCTTGAGCATGGCTTGAGCCATCTCACCGACGTGTTTCATGACCACTTCAGAATTGGAAGCGATCAAGCTCTGAATGAGCTGTATGCCTCGTGCAAGTCGTGCTTGAGTGATCCGAATCCGTTCTCGAACTTCAGCTTCTCTTGCTTGTTCGGTTTCCACAAGAGCCTTCTGTTCTTTTGTCAAAGCGGGTCCATTGGACTTCTTTTGGGATAATGAAGCGCGAACTTCCTGTTCCCATTTTTTGGTGGCATAATCCCTGGAATTCTTGTTCTCTGGCAGATCTTTGTTGTGCGATAAGACTTCCTCGTCAGCAACCCGTACATGATTCGATAGACTCACCATCAACGTATAGGTGATCAGAGGGCGTACTCCATATACCACGTTCTTCCTCTCCAATGAAGTCTAACGAGGAAGGATCTAAGTCGCTTCGTACTTGCGAGAGTGTGGCATTCACGTAGATACTGGGACATAGGAAGCATAATGTCGTCAGCGCTCTGTAAGCCGCTTGAGCCATGTTGGGATCCTGACAAGTCAGCGTTGCTCAGCATCAAGGCACAGACTGACCCGTGGCGGTACAGCAGCAGCCTCCCATATGTGTTTCAAGATTTTCTCGCTCATGTCCATGGCAACCGTAGTCGGATCCAAGCGGAGAGACTGTACCAGAGTGATCCAGGATATCTGAGCGTCTTCATCGATCCCCGGGTGATGTGATAAGATCAAGAAGTCGATAGCAATCTCTTCTCGCGCCACTTGAGGGGCAGTGAAAGCTTCATGGAGGGCTGCCTGAAGGAGTCGACCGACGTCTCGAGATTTTGATCTGATCCCTCCCTCATCATCTCCTATAAAAGGGAGATTCTGATGTGACACCTCTGCCTCGAACCATACTGTGAGAGCATCTCTGATCAGCCAGCTGATAGTTTTTGGCTGAGACCCAGAGAGTTTACAGATGGCTTGCAGAGTTGAACGTCGAATTTCCGAATGTTTCGAGTCGAAAGCCAGATGAATGAAGGCGTTTCCCAACGCGACTCTGAACATTAGCCCCAGTGCTCGTTTGTCATTCTTGAGGCTTACCGGATGGTATGGGTGTTCAGCTTGTCCGACAAGGTGGTAGGAACCATTTCCAAACTTCTCAACAACCATAATTCGTCCTCGGCCGCCGGCAACCGGGCACGCACCTTGTCATTCAGCAGGAATGAGGGTTTAGCGCCAGTCGAAAGGATCATTGTCATATGTGGACTCGTGAAAAGCTGGGCGCACTCCGTCACATTGGCCAACGGGCCTAGAGTCAATGCGACGACCACAAAACCTTCCAAAAACCCTCCAACAACGGCCGGTTGATTGCTTGTCGCACTAGCCAACGAAGTCGCTAGCGCAGGCGTGATTGAGTGAATGAATTTCCATCCTTCAGAAGAGAATTGACCTCCTCTCTCATGTACCTTCCAAATAGCAGATCCCACGGCGTGTGCCACTCCTCGACGTGAGGCCAGCTTGATTGAGGAGAATTCTTTGACCAGGGTCGATGTCGACGCTGGTGAGATCGTCGTAGATGAGGTCAAGGAGTATGAGAGATGAGGGATTATTGCAGTGCACAAAGCGTGAAGAGCGGCTTCATTACTTTCTTTGCTGATGAGAGGGGAGAGAGTTTCGAAAACGATAGCCGAAGTCTGATCTGAGGGAGGAAGGATAGTGACCATGTCGAAGAGACACAAACGATGCTCGGCACTGGCGGTTTTGCCACTTTTGGGTAAAGCGAGGATCTCCGTGGTGACTTTGGCTAGGACCTCGTGGGACTGACAGCGGTCACAAAGAGCCGCCATAAAAGCCACTGCCTTCGCTCGTGTCTCGACATTTGAGGATTTGGAGGCTGACAAGGCTGCGGCGGTAAGTTTGCCAGGTAGGATACTAGAAATGTCATGTGGAGAAGAAGATACAAGGTGGGTTGTGAGAGGCAAAGCAATCTCAGGAGAGCGTAGGAGCATTCTCTCGGCGTTGGGAAGAAGTTTAGTGATCAGGTCATCCGAAGTGACAAATTCACGTAGAAACTCCTGAAATGCAGTCTTGCGAATGAGCACTATACCTACCACGAACAGAGAGAATGACTTACAAGAACATAGTTGTGCAAAGCCGACTTTGCGCCAAGGACATGGGTGGAGTAAAATGTCAAGTTAGCATCCTGCCCGTCAGCTATGTCTAGTCCACGTGACTCGCTCACCTTTTGATGCTGAACAGCTTCCCTTCCATCCCTCACCTTCACTTCTTTAGCTTTACTTGGCGCCCGTAATCGGAGAGCCACTCCAATGATATGGCCGATAAGTACCGAGAGTTTCACAGGGTTTGTGATGGTTCTGGTAAGAAGTAACTTGAGGATAGAGGGAAGACCGTCCCTAAACTTGGATGTGAGCCCTGGTCCACATCAAGCAGATTGGACTTACCTCCCTCAAAACCCTCCATATTCGTATCCCTACTTTATGTCTTAAACGAACAGCCTTTGTGGCGCCCAGTTTGTCCATACTAGCCTCAAAAGCATCAAGCAAGTTCTTTGGTTTACGTCTAACTCTTCAGTTATCCCAA